AGTCCTGCTCTGATCTGTCTCAAGGCTTTTGTGAGTAGTTTCCCAGTTATCAGAATCTTCTGATCCAAACTGAATTTCTGATGTTAAAAAATGGTTTTCCCTGTCACGCAGAAACCCTCAGCTATTGTTGCTCTGTGCCTTTCCTGCCTGAGAAAGGAAAGTTTCCTTTTTCCTACTGTTTCCTTTTACCTGTGTGGATGCTCATCAACTCTCAGCGCAGCAAGCTGAAGACACAGGCCGAGTGACTGCTCAAGAGCAGAGTTTAGCCTTCATTTTTTAAGGGAGCAGGCATTGCCTGGGTTGGTTCCTCTCCCCCTTAATTTACCCCAGACTGTTCAGAAGTAAAGTATTTACTCCGTTACCTAAAAAAGCACCTCTTAGCAGTCGAGGATACTTTTGCGTAATCTCTCTAGATGGAAAGCAAGCAGGCACTTGGGCGACATCAATGTCTCAGGGTCAAACAAGGAAGCTGAAATGGCTGTCAACTTTGATGACGAGAATGAGAAGGAACTGTTATTAAAGGTCTCTTCTAGTTTGTACTCGCCTGCAGAGTTTGGTTCAGTTTTATTGTGATGTTGGGTCCGACACAAAGCTGTCCATCGCAAGTCCTGGATCTGCAGAGCCTTGCAAGAGGAGTGCGTTACATCTACATCCTTAAGCTCTGTCTCAGTAAAACAGGGATCTGTAGTGAGGCCCTATCTGTGGACTATGATTGCTTTGAATCACCTAGAAGTATTTACTGTACAACTCCAAAACACCAACTGCCAGGGAAAGGAATTTTCTAGCCGTAGGGAAGGGAGCAGTTTCTTGTTGTTGGAATTGAGATTTTTTCAGACCTTCCGGCCAGCCTGTTCAGGGCAGCGGTGATGCTTCCACCTCCGCACCGCCTGGTGCAGGTTCCTATTCTTCTGCCAGGCGTAGGCCTTGTTCACCACCACTTTGTCACTCTGTACTTCGCCGCTTACAACAAAGACCCCTGCATGAGTGCCTCTCATGATGTTGTGGACACAGGTAGCATCTATGTCCAGCCACTGCTGGAGCCTGGCAGGGATTTCGGTTCTGAGGAGCGGGCCGTGCTTCAGGACCTCCACCCTGGAGGGGTCCAGGTCAAAGTCCGAGATGGTGGTGGTGATGTTCTTCCTCAGGATTCGGATTTTCACTGCTGTGGAGTTGGAAAAAGAGCTATTAGTTCTGTTTACTTTTCATAGCTCTTACCTACTTAAACACACAACCAACGCAAGGCTCTCTTGCTGTTTCTGGACAGCTGTGGTGACACATCTGTCCAAGCTGTTGTAATTGCAGTGAACTTGTAAAAGTTCTCATTTGCCATTCTTCTCACTCCACTTTTCTCACGAGAGTGATGAAGGCGTATCAGCACCACTGCGTGGGCAGAAACCTTGTAGGAAGCAGGAGCACAAGCAAGTGGATGCATCAAAATCCTGGTCTCGTGCAAATTACTTGACTTTTCTCTGAGCTGGGGTTTCAGGAGGTGACATGACTGCCTACTGCCCAGGATATTGAATTTTATTTTTTTTTCCATGAAGGTTGTGTGCCTGAATTCGGGACAGTAGCTTGAAAACTTCCTGCCAGCAGATTGAGCAGAGCCACCTGCTCAGGCTGGGAGAGGAAGAGTCGCGTTACTAGAACAACGGTATTGAAGTTTGAAATAACTAACGAGGAGTTTGCTAGAGGTTTTTATGGGCATCAGTTGAAATGTTGGTCTCCAAGGGAAAACCAAAGTAGTGCTTGTATTTAGCAGCCGCAAACCAAAACCAAATCAGAGCCCACAGAAATAAAGCACATTGTCACCTTTGGTGCTGCCTGGAGCTGGGCCCTCCTGATACCTAACAGGTAAGTTGGGACCTGAAAATCCCTGGGATCTGCTGTGGAAGCTGCAGTTTCTCCAAGTCAGTTTGTTATGGCAGAGCCATTTTCTGTCCGTGGCACTCCTTGGCTGCTGGAAAGAGTGCAGCAACTGAAAGGAGAAGGGGGTTTACTCACCAAAATCATTGGCACAGAGGTTTTCCAGGATCTCCCTGGCAGTGCTGGCCTCCTCAAGCTCACAGTCCTTGCAGCTGGCTCGGGGTACTGCTGCAACAGAAATTTGGTTATAACACCCTTGTCAAGCTTCACTGGAAAAGGCATAATGTAATTTTGAGATCTGCGAGTGGTGGCTTGCTGTTTCCGAGTGGTGCTTCCTCCCGAGCTACCCAGTCCCTGGAGAGACAGCTTAGGCTGCCAGAGTGGGAAATGTTGAGCTCTCTGTTTTGTGGCTGGGGCAGACGCTGCTTGTCATGCTTTGTTTAGGCTTGTGTGTGTTGCTGCATGTTAAAGCAGCAGTGAAAATGCTTAATGGAGATCTCCTGGTTTGGATGAAACAATAAAGCTGTTGGTATGGCCAGACTCCATCCAGTGATGCTGAAATGAGGCGTCAGATCTCCCTTTAACTGCTCTCAAATCTCCCCCAGTGTTCATCAGCATCTGGATGTTTAATTTAGTCTTTCAGTCTTAAAGATATTTTTCTTGTGTAACTCATGCCTGCAGAGGCTTATGCCCCTTTGTGGTGTTTCCTAATGTTTAAAGAGAAGGCTTGCAAAACATTTCTTTTTGCGTGTTTATTTAAACCCTGGACACAGCTGAAAGATCAGGGCTGCAGCTCCTTAGCTCCGCTGGGAGCACATCTCGCTGCCTGGAGCCCGCACACAAGCTGTGCCTGGGCATTAGGCTTTTGCAGCGATTTCTTCCCCCTGCCCCACATCCCGTGTGGTCTCATGGCACCCGGGGAGCTAATGAATAGAGCAGAGAGGGGAACAAGCTGCAGTCAACTTTACATTAATTTTCTACACATGGTGGAGTTCCCAGAGAGAACAAAACTAGAATTTTTTTTTTTTTTTTTTAAATATAGCTTAAACCCAGAAATACTAGGAATAGAAACAAGGCATAGGCTCATCCTTTTGAGCTTTCAGTATTACATATGGGAAAACATGAGGAAAAACCCAAGCCCTTACTTCTCCTGCTCGAGGAATTTTCGTCCATGGAGACTGCTGCGATGCACAGTTCGTGGTCTGCAGGAAACTTGTTGCAGTTCAGGATTTCGGGCCAGGGATAGCCGAAACAAGCCATGACGGGTGCGCAGCTTCTCTTGACGGCTTCACAGAGGCTGCGGCAGGGGTAGATGAGCCTGGGGAGGGGATGGGGATTGCAGCACCTCTGGACTCGGGGCAGCAGGCTGAGGGTTGAGCCCTGGCACTGCACTGCTGCCACACAGGGCTGTCTTGCACACTCTAACGCTAGCAGAGCTATTTTGGGATCTTTGATGTCTTTTGAACATTCATGCCCAGGAAGCAAACAAGAAATGTCTGAGGACAGGAGGGATGAGGCTGTTTGATACAGGCTGCTGCCAAAAGCCCTTCCCCACCCCCTAACCCCGGATCTTCTCTAGTTGTGCAAAGACTGCTGACCTTTACAGGTGTCTAATTAGATAACTGATTTCCTTAGCAGCTCTATTCTTTGATGGCTGCACCTCAAAACTGAGGATTTCTCTCTGGTGCTGGCAGTGTTGGGCTGAGGAAGCCCCTGTGCACCTGGAGCAGGAACTGGGAAAGGGACTGCAGGGGAAGTGGGAGATGAAGCCGGTGGGTGCCAGGAGCTGCTGCGGTGTGTGAGTGGGCAGACAGGGGAGACGGCAGCAGTGCCTGGGCTGGGAGAGCAGGAAAATCCAGAGGAGGGAACGTATTGTTTCTGCAGCTGTGAAATGAAACTCTCATGTTTCACTTTCAGGGGGAAGGTCCCTGCTGGGTAATCCAATTACCCCTTGCCGAGAGGGGCAGCACGGCTTCTTGGGGGCTGTGCTGATCACGTTGCACGCGTTTTCTCTTGGGAGGCAAAGGCAGTTGCACTCATGGGGAGCGTTACTTGCTACAGCTGAAATAACTTGTAAAAACATCTTACCTGTCCAAGCAGATTGGTGCAAAAAGGGAGCAGAGGAAAATCCTAGCATCTGGGTGGCACTCCCTGGCCAGCAAGGGCAGCCAGCTGGAAGACTGCTGGATCGCTTCTGGCATGGTCTCGTGCTCCAGCAGGTTGGGAATCCTCATCTCGGAGTAGCCAATATCATAGCACAAGGCCATGCGGTGTGGAATGGGTGTGCAGCTGGACGATCTCCTCAGGTAGCTTGCCCAGGCTCCTGGAGAGCCCCAGAGCAGCAGGCGTGCCAGGAGACCCAGCAGCCATGGGCCGCCCGACCTCGAGAGGCGCCTGCGGTGGGCCATGACCATGCTTGGAGCAAGCTGGGAGCGGGCGAACAGGCGGCACACCCTGGACTGAGCTGCTCCTGACTGTGGGACGCCTTTTATAGCCTACAAGCCACCTCTCTGTCAATCCATCCTCATTAAGCGCGGCCCTTTCAGAGCCCTCATGGGGAAGACAATGCTCCAATTTTCATTTGCCAGCGGCCCCGATTGTTTGGATTTTAGCAGGGGTTTGGCTTAGATCAGCAGGTGTGGAAATGAGGGCAGTTGGGGAGGGATGAATGACTTGGCCAGTGTGTCTTGGGGCTCTTTCAGCCGAGATTGAATCTCTGTTTGACACCAGTGCTCCAACCCATCCCCTTTCTCTTGCTCCAGGATTAGTCATTATTTCATAAACCCCAATGTTTTCCTCTCTTTTGTTTTTTGTAAAAGCAATCAAGTGTTGCTCAAAGTCAATTAGGAGGCATTTGTTTAGCTGGATCTATTGTGGAGCAGGCGGAGAGATAGGATGGTCTCGCAGCCAGAAGTTAACCGTTTGGGAAAGCTGAGGGTAGGGAGGAACTAATTTGCAGCTGTGGAGCTAGGTTGTTTGCAGATGGGATTGGCAGCTGGAAACCCCCTCACCTTGCAACCTGCGTGACAGAGCACGCTTTCCGGTTAACAGACTCTCTGCTTCGTTACGAAATCCCGTTACTACCCTGAAGAGCGGGATTGTCCTTCCTCCAGCACGTAATTAAGATTCCAGAAACCATGATTATTGTAGCCCAGTTTGGGGAACTGGAAATACCAGGGGCGTCGCTTGCCAGCGTGCGTGGTTCGTTCAGGCCTGGTGCCGTGCCATGAGGTTCAAACCGGCCAGCGGAAGCTCCGGCTCTGAAGCATCCTCTGGCACAAGGACCCTGCGCTGCCTGTGGCGGAAATTGTTTCCTCGGAGGGTGTTATGGATACAGCCGGCTGCATTGTGTTTCTGGGGCTTCCCAGGAACATCTCGTTTTCTCCAGGGCTAGTTCTGGTCTGTACTTCGCCAACTGCTATTGACAGTTGGAGCTGATGGAGTTGATTTAAGGTCACGGAAGTAATTAACTTTTTTTTTCCCCTTTGACGATTGTTGCTGTAGTGGAGATAAAACGAGTCTGTAGCTCATACCTGCAGGAGCTCTAGTGGGCTGCAGTTTGGGGACCTTGGGCCTGGCAGCACTTAAACCTGTCCTGCTTTGGTAGTTTTGCTTTCCCTTTTCAATAGTCTCAGCTGCTGCTAACAAGATCCCCATAGCAGTGACAGACATCATCAGCCAGAAGGATCTTCTCAACTTGCTGGGCCACAGTGCAGCTGTGCTGTGGAATGGGACCTCGCCAGTGTTTTGTGAGCATGCGCCCAGTGCACCGTGCAGCCAGAAATCTCAGCCTCACAGTCATCGCTGGATTTCTCTGCGTGTAAATTTGCGTGGGGTCCTGATATCGTCTGTTTGCTGCTGATGTCATGCTGCAAAGGAAGGCCAGTGATACTGGGATGCTACCTGGGTATGGAGTGTGGCATCCACCATGCACAGTGTCTTCCCTTTTAATATCGCATTTGGAGACCTTTTTTAGTGGGAGATAAGGGAATGAGTGGGAATAGGTTTGGAAGTTGTCTCCTTGCTGTTTGAGTTTCATAGTAGAGCACTGTTTTTCCCCTGAAAGGCGTTTGGTTTTGTGCAAAGTGCTGTCCTCTCCACGTGACAGCAAGGAAGCCTGAAACCCTGGCTCTCACCGCTGCCCACCGTAAAGATTTTGGCCTCCCTTCCTGTAGCAGCAGTTCCCAGACTGTGATCCACATGTCACCTTTGAAGTGATAATACACGGTGATACGCACGTGTTTGTTCACTCCTTTGTCCATTGTGGTATCTGCCAGAGAGTTTAGGGGCTTGACCCCTGGATCCAAACATTTAGGAACTGCAGTTGTAAAAATACCTGCCTCCAGCAGCTCAGGTGTATGGTGTGTGCTCTTTTAGAGCTCTTCTGGTAGAAGAGTGAATGTGTTTGAATGTCCCAAACTTAGGCAGTTTTCTCAGTGTCCCCTCCACCACCTTTTTTTTTTTTGCCCCTGCTGAGTGGCCTGCCATCAGTATGACATCCCACTGTAACAGTTCCTCAGTCTCTGTTGCTGCTCACACTTTTGCTGCAGAAATTCCTGACTTCCTAACAGAGGAGGAGTGCAAGCTTATCGTCCATCTGGCACAGCTGAAGGGGCTGCAGAAGAGCCAGATCCTACCAACAGATGACTATGAGGAAGCCATGGAAATGATAGAAATCAGCCAGATGGACATTTTCAATCTCCTGGACCACAATCAGGACGGGCAGCTGCAGCTCAAAGAGGTAGAGCACGGGACAGACCAGGGGAGGTTTGCTGGGGGACCCTCTGGCAGGTCTTCTGCTCAAATGGTCTCTTGGTTGCTTGTGTGCTTGGGTAGGGCCAGACCCCACTATATGCTGATCAGTATTTGCTCAGCACTATGTCTCAAGACTTGTGCTGGCCTTCAGCATGGAAGTTTCTGGGGAAACGTGCAGCAGTTGTGATGCTGTTGGGAGGTAGCAGCGGTCCTTGGCAGGAGATTTGTGTTTGGAATATGCTGGGTAAAATGTTCCTTGTGCTGTGGGTTTCCTCTTGCTGGGTGTCCCAAGGAAGTGGGTTTGTAGCGTGGGCACTGCTTTGTACAGCCTGTGGGGACTGACTGCACTTAATTGACCAGACATCAGCAAAGCCACCCCTGTTGATGACCCTGGAGGGGGATAATGAGGACCTTGTCCACAGCTCTTCAGCACTCTTGCCCTGTATGGCAGGGTGCACCAGGGCAGGTGCTGGCAGTTCAAGGATGTCCCTCCCCAGGCTCCCATTTCAGGTAGGGCTGGGGGTATGTGCTGGCTGCGGGCAGTCAGCGTTGTGGAGTATGAGGAGCTGTGCCAGTGACAACCCAGGGCAAGGCTCCTTTCTCTGGAGGTCAGAGCCTGCTGAGAGGTCTCCAGGGTACTGCATCTCTCACTCCACATGGAAAGGAAGCGTTTTGTTCCAAGCCCTTATCTTGGACAATTAAAAGCATTCACTTTTATCATAAGTAGTTTTACTTTCCCTTCAAGAGAAAGAGCCGTGCCCGTTCCATCTCATGAGTGGTTAACTGAGTCCCAGCAGTCATTTGCCATGACCTAAACTGGAAATAACAGCACTCAT